TCCGACTTGAGGGTAGGACAGGCTTCAGGTTAGTGTGTGGAGCAGAGAAATCACGAATTACTAGTTTGCCTGTTTCCACCTGACAAGCCGGGACCAGCTCCCCAGATGTGTTCAGAGAGGCTTTTTCTCTGACGTTGAGGCCAGGCCTTTCCAGTACATATGTGGCGTTTGCCATGTGGCGCTAAAGTCGGTCAGAGTTTCAAGAGAAACTGCTACCACCACCTTATAGAAAGAATGAAGATAACCTAGATTTAGGGTCTCCTCAAATTACCTTTTGTGGGAGAACATTCCCTGACACAGGACATAAATCCTCTCAGTCTGCCACATTTACTTCAGCATCACAGGCTGCAGATCAGCCCGAGTGCCCATTTGCCATGACAGACCTGTTCCCTGAGTTTCCTTGGATTAGATTTATTCCCACAAAGAGGCGGCCAGCATTGGGTGGGGCACTGCAAGAGGAGAAAGGGTGCCCTGGAGGAGCTGTGGGCATGCAGTAGTCAAAGCTGGGCGGCTCTGGTGAGGCAGATCCACGTGCAGCAAGGCGGCTAGTGGGTGGCTGGAGCTTCCGGCAGGGTGCTCGCTGTGGGGCGGGGGTGCGAAGGTAGAGCCCGAACGCGTGGTGGAGCGTGGGCGTGGGCGAGCTCACCCCCAGATTCTCCCAGAGAGATCAAGGGCACCCAGCCGTGGGCACGGCCCCTTGGGGCGCGGAGCACCATCTCAGGTGACCATAGGAGAAGGCGCTGGCGCAAGATGGGGGTGCCTCCAGGTCCTATTGAGAGGCTCAAAGTCCAAATCAGCCACTTAGGAGCTATGTCACAGGACAAATTACCTCTCTGAGCATTTGTGAAGCGCAATGAGTGACTGCCAAACGCACTGGGAGGGTGAAACGGTGCTCTCAGGATGGGAAAGATCTCCTACTGCAAATCCTGAACTAGAGCTGGCATTTGTTTGTGGACAATCAGCCATCTTCTGTCAACCTATTTTTCAGTTACCTGAAACATGATTTATATACAGCAAAGTTCTCCGTATTTTCTTTTCTTTTTTTTTTTTTTAAAGATTTATTTATTTGTGCATACAGAACTGGGGTACAGGCCAGGGGCGG